TTGGATATCGAATTATTACTTGGGTTTTGATGTTCACCAATTTGATCGGTCAAGTACAAATCGATAGACTCGTATTGACTATTGATTTGTAACCGCAATTTTATTTACAATTTTTTATATGTCTGTGATTTTATTATCAAATTATAAATATAATATATTTTATTAATTTTATATTAAATATTTAAATATACATGTATATTTAAAGTGATTTTATAGCATATAATTATTATTTTTACATAAAAATCTTTTTTATTATGTAATATATATATTAAAACTTAATCTAACAATAATTATTAATTAAAAATTATATTTCAATGATTCGATTCAATTATTCAACGTCAAAAGAACTTCGATTCGCATATGTCTAGAATTCGCATGTGATTTTAGAAATTTTCAAAAGAAATACATAATAACACAATTTAATAAATTTTATGTTCTCTATATATTCATAGAAAATAAATATTTATTTATTTATATGTAATTTATTTCCTATAAATATATATTTTTGTAATGTACTTCTGTATAAATATTATTTAATTATACTATTATTAATTATATTTCTATAAATATATATAATAAATGATGTATTTACAGAAAATCACGTAACATTTATACTTTATATTAGAGAACGTAACTACTCGCACAGAATTATATCGAGATCTAGTAATGCGTTTCTTAAGTATCACATAATTTTTCTACACGAGCATATCCGACGATGAAACTTTACCTGCATTTAAGACTGTTCGACTCTCGCGAGCCCCACTGAAAACAATCACATTTAACAACGTGCGAAGAAGAGATAAGAGCAATCGCAATTGTACACTTCGCCGCGGAATGTCAAAGACGTCGATCGACTGTTCCTGTCACGAAGCTCTAAAAATCGGGCTTCTCTTTCTCTCTTTTACATCTGCTCATGCGTGTACGCGCGACGTGCACGTGTGCAGCGGTGACGTAACACGTTGACGGCGTCGCGCTTCGCGTTTGCATTCGCTTAATTTTCATTCAATGAATGAACAAGACCACGAAATTCGCAAAATTGAACGATGCGGCGAACTAATCCTGGGCTTTTAAAAGGAACTTGCAAAATAATTGCACAATCTCACACAATTATAATTTTATATATAATAACTTTAAAAATAGATTTTTCTATATATAAATCTACACGTATACACATAATATTTTTAAGACTTCTCATAATCAATACGAGCTTATGCAAAGTTTATAACGTTAAAATTGATCAATGGAATTTTTTTAGTTTATTTCAAAAATATATTAATATTTATAAATATATATATAAGAATATTTACTAATATATAACATATATAATATATAATTAATATATAATTTTCTAACATCACAAAAAAGTCATCAACAAAAATTAATTCATTTATTTAAATATCCCTCCACGGGGAGAAATATCGACGCGTCCAATTCAAGAATAAAAATTGTAAATAAGTCACTCTAGTGTTCAGAAACGCTGCAGAAAAAAATTGTTTTGTTTGTATCGATTTATTCCGGGACAGCGCGAACGCAGTCCCGACTACCAAAAATTATACGCCCGAGATACCCACTTTAGGGGTATTCGCAAGGGTCAGCTCGACCGTAGTGCAATGGAAGAGCCTCGCCCTGGAGGAACCGCCTTCATGATCACGGTAACCTCTGCGCCAGGTAAGTATGCTTTCGTGGACGACGGGCTCCAATTTATCCACATCGTGAATGCATTTTAAACACGAGTAACTTTTCACGTCTGCGACAAAGTGCTCAACTAAACGTGTCGTCTAACAGTCAGTCGTTAAATCGAAACTAGTCGCACATGGTGACTCTCCCCAACTCTCTTCCCTCTCTTCACACAACACCCTTAACAATAATTCTAAATGTATTCTCGTATCATGTTATACCTAACATATAATTATACAATATATATCAATTAATTAATTAAAATGTAAAATTCTATTATTATTATAAATAATATAAGTAATGTATATATATAAAAAAAAAATAATAATTGACGTACATGTATATTACGCGCCCATATATTTACTCCGATATCGACGCTTATGATTTAATGTTGCATTTTTAATTTATTTATTAGCCTTTCCTTTCACCATGATCCTATCTATCACATTCTGCGTTCGTATATTTCGTGCAAACAAATGTAACAGGAATTGAACAGCTGAACTAAATAATTATCATTTCTTTAAATTATATATATATATATATATATGTATATATATATATATATATATATATATATATATATATATATATATATAAATTATATATAAATGTATATAATAAAAATTTAAAAACAAATATTTAAATTATCATACAATATCTCATTCTACGAATAAGATTCAAAAATAACAAATTTAAAATAGTGATAATATATAAGCTTTCAATATTTTAAATAATACAATAGTGTAACAAAGGCAACTGAGAGCAATAACGCGGATATGATATTAGTGTATAAAAAACTATATTTTATATATATTCATTTCTTTGTATTCTTACTTTTATTTTCTCTAAATAGTCCATAAATTTGAACGTTTTGATCATGCTGCAGGTTATCCTCAGAGGATTTACGTTATACAGAGAATAGAAGAGCAATGCACACCTAACGAACAAGATGATTACAACTTTAATCATTATAAATCTTCCTTCCTAATAGTATAAGCTGTATAATTATTGAGTTCTCTTACTAATAAGTCAGTAAGACAGATGATTCCACCAGGATTAAGTAAGAAACTATTTACATTCACACACAACTTACTAACAAGAGAGCAAAATAGTAATACTACTATGAAATAAAAATGATCAAATTTTGAATAATAACCGTCGAATGATCTGTCCTCGTCAAGATATAAAACACTAATGATTGACCGCGCACCAATAATAGGTATGTATGAGTCAAAGTAACGTTATTACGCGATGGTAAATAAATAATATAAAACAAGTAACAAATAAATAATAAAGTCAATCATATGTCAATCAACATTACCCGGTGAGAAAACAAAGTTCGATAATAAAATTGATATATATTCTTCAAAAAAGGAATTCTTTAACAACTTAAAATTATTGTGTAACATATAAAATATGTTATTTTTAATTCTTACAAATTTAAAAGTTATCAAGAACAGACACATAATAGTACAAGAACTCCGTATCAGATTGAGTGAATTTGTCTGTAATCTTTTATGTAATATCTCCGAAATCATTTTTTTTCCTAAGTATTTTTCTCTATCTACAATCTCAACGTTTTGACAATCAAAGTCATGTTTAAAACACAATCTGTGCTTAGTAATAACAGATTCATTATTAGTGTTCCAGTTGATTTGATTTCTATGTTCCATAATCCTCATTTTTAACTTTCTTTTTGTTTATCCGATTTATATCCTCATATTTTTTACAGGAAATTTAATAAACAACTTTTGATATTGATTTTATATACAACTTTCATATTGATGGGGAGGACGTTTCTTCTACACCTTAATCACTCTTATTCATACTAAAATCCAGTTTATTCATACTAAAAAAATACTAGTCTAACATTAAGATCTTTCATTATTTTGATAAATTTTTCTATTATACTTGAAATATAGGGAATCGTAAATCATCTTTTTTTTCTTTCTTCTCTTATTCAAATTTCTGCAACTTCATTGCATTTTTAATCGAAAGTCTTTTTAATCTAATATTAATCGCGTCAAAAATAAACTGCAAAGAATAATCATATCCAAAAAAGTAGTAAAGTAAGTAATTAAAAAATACAAATTATCATTATGATGCTTACGATGTGCAAATAAAATGGTTCTATCTACTATGCTCATTATTATCTCTCTTTTCTGTGGAGAATGCAAAGAATGAAAATTGATACCTTTCCGAAAAGATGAAATATTAAATAATTAATATTTACTTATTTTTCTTAACTTTAATTTTTAAAGAATATTGTCCGAAAAAACTTTTCGAGAAGTCAAAAAAAAACATCGATCTATAAATTTTATAATAAAATTTTGTAATTAAAAAAGAAAGAAAGAAATGGAAACAAGAGACAAGTCAATGCTTATACTTACTTGAAAGGGATTCTGATCCTTGACGTCGGTATAAAATATCTGCGACTCCTTGTTATACCAACGATCCTGCGAATATATTGAATTAATCCTCATATCAGTCCCATTCCCTGACACTCCCAGTATCTTGTTTTGGGCACCCTCCACAACTTCGCCCAACATTTTATCGTTCTCCATATTCAATACTCGGACGCAGGGAACGCGGCCGAGGAACTTCTCTTGGCGCCAATATCCCGAAGACTCGTCCTACTCACGATCGGATAGACCTTGATGTTCTGTGGCCTCAGAAGTGACTCTCGGAACAGAAGAGTGGACGCGTCTGGATGCCTATCTCGATGATTGTCTCCGTTCTCTTTCAGAATCGTGTCCTTGCTATCGATCAACTCGTCAAATTTCTCGCAGGAGCTCACGTCAGCTAATTTGCTTCTGCAATGTTTACAGTCCTTCTTTCTACGTCTGCGATTCGGTCGGCGATCGAACTGCGTCATCGAGGCATCTTGCGAGTCTTCGTTTGCTTGAAGAGACAAGGATACATTCTCTGAAACGTCCTCGGAGAGGGAAGGGAGTTCGCGAGATTTCTCAAAGACTTTCTCAGCATCATCTTCACTCGTCCTGGATAAAGTGATTATGCTGTCGTGATTCGTACTGATTCTGGAGGATAATGTCGAGTTTTGTTGAAAGGGTCTGTCGATCGTGGAAGATGAGGGCCTGTTAATCCAAGCCTGTCTAGCGAGGAGACCTCCAGTCTCGGACAAATTTCGAGACTCGTCAGGGTAAGAGGTCCGTTTGGAAAGCTCGGAAGTGTTGGTTTCTGCACCGATCGCGATGTCCTCGTACAGGTTGCTTTCAGGATGCGACGTGGCCCTCGCGACAACGGGATTATCGATCACATCGATTGTGTCCGTGCAAAGTTGCTGATCGCGGCGGCGAGACTCAAGGGTGGACTGCTCTTGTGCTGCGCGCGACTGATCCTCCTCATAACCCTGGTTCTCCATCGGAATCTAAACAAAAAGATGTAATTGTAAAAATTATGATTGGTTTATAATATCTTAAAACATTATATTTAAGACAATACTTAAAATGATCTTAAATATAAATTAAATTAAAATTTAATACATTAACGTTGCGATAATATTAACGATATTCGAAATATTCTTGTTTTTTAATAACTTTGTGTCAATCGCATAACAATCAAGTATGATAATGCTCGGAAAAGCCCCATTACTTTTCCATTTCTTTAGCTCGTTTTATATGCCTGTTCTGTAACTCTAATGGCATTATGTTATCGTTATTGGTAAAAAAATCTTTATTAATTATAATTAAATTCGATCATCCATTTTCGATAGTTAGTCTGGATTGTTCTTAATTATAATTCTTGAATCTTTTACTCCATCCAAATTAGATGACATCGAACATATGGAGTATGCATTATCTCTTATCATTATCTATATATGGATATAGCCAGCATGTGATTTCTAGTATATATTACGTAATTTAATTACATATCTCTCAATTAATTACAATTATCTAATAATGTTTTTATAAATACGCATATTCTTATTTTAATTTAATCATTTCTTTTATGGATTTTACAATTGTTCACAATTCGTATATTTTAATGATATCATTACAAAAATAAAATGTCTGTTTTGTCTTACAATTAAATTAATGCTCTTTTTTAGAAAAATACGCCTATAAAGTATTTTATGCAGTTCTTATTTGGATCATTGTAATAATTAATCATTGTAATAATATTTACGGAACATGTGTAACTCATAAAACGAAGAATGAAAGAAAGCGATGGAAAAGACAGAAAGAGAAACGTTACGAGAAGGAGGATGAATTGAGTGTCTCGTTGGGAAGCATACTCGCGATTGTCGCAATTATCACGACTTGACTCTCCGATTGATCCCTGCTGGGCTCATGACGTCATCGAAACTATGCCTGTGGGATCATTCGTTTCTTCTTAATTTATCCGTGATGCTCACAATGATACGCTTAGATTTCCGCAATCTCGTGTCATATAAGGTACACGTATTAGGGAAGTGTTTTCCTATTTGATCGAAGATAACCGAGCAAACTATTCCCCTCATTCTTTGTCACTATTTCTACAGCCTTGGTAAGTAACTTTCATCCCAAAAAAATACAATTTTAAAAATAAGATTTTTGGAAAATCGGTACTTTTCCAAATTAAAATTTTTGAAATTATAACTGTAAATAATAAGACAAATAATGTAACTAAATGTATTTTTTTAAAGTTACTATAGCGCACGTCAAAAGAATTAAATTACTATACTATCTTTAAAGAGCTTTAGATTTATAATTCACGATTTATAATTCATCGAAAAATTATACGAACGATTTATAATTCATCGAAGAAAGAGAAAGAGAAAGAGTCAGAATAAAAATTTATTTATAATTTCATGTGTACCAAATAATACAAAAAAATATTTAAAAAATCAAAATATATCATTTACATAAACATACAATTACTATACGTACATACATATCGTCGAAATACGATAAAATATAAAACTCAATATAATAAAATTATACATAAATATAATAAATATATAGGTTTAATTAAATGAAAATTAAGATAAAATCGAATTACAGAATGTTTGAAATTATTTTTATATGAAAATAATGAAAACATTCTGATCTATATAAAATATCTCACCGTTATATTATTTTCTTCTAGATTATATTAAATTTATGGTTTAATTAAAAAAAAAAGTATTAATTCTTTAAATTCATGCTATAAATAATGGAATTCTACTTTCCACATAAAATTATATGCAATAATTCAATTCAATAAAATTTCACAATATCATTTTGTTTGAAATATTAATTAATTAATTAATTTAATACATATCTTTTTCATATAAGTTGTTTATTCGGTTTTTATTAGCCAATTTAACATCGAAATAAAAATTATCTTCCACTTTAGTGCTATTTTTCGTTAAAATTTCTCTCAATCGTTCTCATTTGCTAAAACGTTCGCGTTTCGATGACGACAGCGAGCACTTGATTGCGAAGGATGCGTTCACGAGGTCGACGGGGCACAAAGGATCCATTCACTAATAAATACAATTAGCGCGTCGCCGCGCGCACTCGGTATCGAGATTATTCAGTTGCGCCAGCAATTCCCAGCATTCCCGTTAGATTAATCCCGATCGACCGTCGCATCAAGAACCAATCGCGGCGATCCGATTAATTCCGCGCTGATTCAGCCGCGCGCGTTCTTGCGTTCGCGATGACGCATCCAGGAAGTTCGCGCGAGTTCTTTACCCACGCACGGTGCCGTGTACTTTTCGCGAAGAAAACGTCATCATCGGGCGACGCGGTGAAAATTTTGATGTGCGAAGAACATACGCGAACATGCTATGCATTATTCACGATCTCTTATGCGCTCTCGCGAGCGTTCAATATAACCGCAGACAATTCCCATGAAAATATGTTTGATTCCCTTCAGACTACGAAACGTACAGGATGTCCTCGATCAATTTTAATTTTCCGCTAACAGTAATTATTCTAACATTAACTACTAAATGGATCGAGAGAAATTCCTGAAAAATATTGAAGGTTCAATACGTTTCACACGAAAGACATACAATTATTGAGAGGCATAACATTTTAAGATTTTTATAAAAATCTTTTTTTCGGTTGAAAAATGAAATTTTGATAGAAAATGTATTTAATAATAACAATTTTGTTATTATTTCTCTTACATTTTATTTAAAACATCTATTCGTCGACTGATTCAGTCCGTATCTATCCTCTTTATGTACACGTAACAAAGAAATGCTTTACTTGTTTTTTATGCGATTTGTAGTAGACGTGAGATAAATGTACATAAAAGTACGCAGATGGCAAGCACATATAGCGTAGACAAAGCACGTAGACTAATTTTAAAGTCTGTGAGCAAGCTTGCTTACATATCGCATATTTCGACTGATCATATCAAAGCACCGTCGGCGTTCCTCAACGCGCCAACATGATACTGTGCTTATTTTTAATTCTTTTTCATTCTCTTTTCTATGCAAAAGCATTTTCTTTAGACGCACATCTTCGTATTTCTTTCCGTTTATTTAACTTATTCATTTTAATATAAAAAAGCTGCTTAACAAAAAAATTACAGATCAAAAGCTAGATTTATTATCAATCTTTTCTTCACTTTTTCCTTTCTAATAAAGAGTCTTCTATACAATTCTCGATCGATGCAAGAGCGTTGAATTATTTCAGCATCAAATAATAAAAAATTCAGAATTATATGTATAATATATAATAATCGATAATAAATCTCGTCATATATAATGACTTTTAAAAGGCAGCTTATAGAAATAATTATTACAATTCATATCGCTAAATATATAATTTGCTAAATATACAAATGCATACTTATAAACAAACACATATAAATGTATCTATAACGCAAATGTATGAATTCTTATTCTGCGATCTTCGAAAAATCGTGAGATACATAATATTATATATTGTGTGTTTTATTATTTTTACAAAATCGATGTAAAACAATCCTCGTGTTTTATGCAACGTAAATAAGAAATGTTTGAAGGATAAAGTCCTCCTTTTTCATCTGCGTTTCCTGTAATAGACATTCAATGAACTATCATTAAAATCATTACATACGATTGCATCTCTCCAGCTCTTACCAAGTATACTTTTTAAAACCACGAACGGACGTTTCCCTCCTTATCCTCTCCTAACTTATAAATCTTTTTCTGCACAGGAAGGTATGTGTACATTGTATAAGTCATATCACGATCGCGATTGGCAGACCGTAATAAACTAACGTTTAACTACCTGAATAAACATCATTGTTTTTCTTAATTCGTTTACAATTTCCTTTCTTATCTAATTTATTATTAATCATTTCTAAAGGTTTATAAATCATTTCTAAAGATTAATAAATATAGCAGAGACAAATTGTTATTATATTATAATTCTGCTGAATTAAAAAATTAAATTTAATTCTACGAATAAAAGCGAGGTTGAAATCTAACAAAAGAAAAAAATTGAGCAATCTTCCATAAAAAATTCTAAAAAGTCTCACGTCTACAAAGTTTTTAGGAATTTTCGGATTACCAAATCTTTCTTGTAAGTTGCAGACATAGTGTATGAAAAGACGCGAGACAATTCCGTATCTGTGCATAGAAAGGAATGTATGCCACTTTCACTATATCGCAACGTATGTTTACTACATGATGATGTTACTTTAAGTCACATTGTACGTCAACAAACGGATAATTACGGGATATTAAAAATAATCGCTGTCAGAGCAGCTCGCCCGTTTGCTCGAAAGAAATACGAATAAATACTGTACGTTTACACTATGGCCCTATTGTTATTCGCAGCGCATGCATGAAGGACGAAACGGAAGCAGGGTCGCCTTTCTCGTTCTCTTTTTGTCCGATCGCGACTCCGGAAGTCACCAGGTGCATCCCGCGCGTATGAAAAACACGTTGCTGCGAATACCGATAATTAAATTGTAACTGGCCGGCTAATTACTTTCCGTACTTCTTTGTACGAAAAAAATGTACGGGTTATTTCGTTTGAAGTTCGAGATTTTCAGGAACCTTCAAAAATTAAAAATAATTAATTAACTACAGAAACTAATTTGATCCTTGAAACGATAATACTTATTTAAAATTCAAAATACTTTTGCTTGTACACTAGAATTCTATTTACTTCAACATGTCAGAGAATAAAACAGTTAGTTCGGATAATAGAGGTTCGTTAACTCTCCTCACTATGAGTACTTCTTATTGTTAATTTCGATAATAGGAACGCGTTCAAAAAACTAAAATTGAGCTCGTTGAGCTCTTATTATCCATACTACGACGTTCAATTATAAATTCAAATATTTAAAATTGAGCATAAATTTATTCATATACAATACGAAGATACAGTAAATGAAGTTCTACTGTATTATCTTTTTTATCTAAGTAAGTAAAGTACGAATAACACATTCTCTAGGAAG